GATAATGGGTTTGCTTGGAGATCATAAGACCAACTGAAGACTTGTCCTGAGTAGAGATCATAGGACCCTGATCTTCTTCAGGATTTAGGTCTTACTGGCAATTGTTCCCTGTCACTTGCATTCCTGAGGCTGCCACAAAGTGACAGAGCTAAATCAGGTCCCTCATCCCAGCCTGCAAGGTGCTATCTTGACCTTTAAGATTCCAAAACTATGAGCTGGAGAAAACTTTTTTTTTAAATAAAGGTTATCTATTTTTGGTATTTTGTTTATAATAATGAAAGGCTGACTAATATGTATTCAGTTTCTCTCATCGCTATCCCTACATTTTGTATATGAATATTTATGAGTTTCTTCAAATATGAAAAATATAGTTAATTTTTGCAAATATTACCTCTTCTACATTTCCTGTATCCTTTCTGGAAAGTCTGTTAATTATGCTGGATTTTATGTACACGTGATTATTTCTGACAGTCTTTTTAAAATAGTGTATATTTTGGACAATCTCTTAAAGTCTACTTTTAGCACTAGTTGTTTTGAAATTTTTTAAATGTGTTTAATTATTTTTAATACGTCAAAAGTTTCTGCTTTCTAACTTATACACTGAGATTTTTACCTTCAAAAATACCAGTTTCCAACTTTGATAACCTTTTAGATTATTTTGCTTATTAATTTCGTGTAATGTTGCACTTCTTATATTTTAAACTATTATAAAAATCTTCCATCTTCTGTCATCGAATGTGAGTTGCTCTGTTTTATGAATCAGTAGACACTATTTCTGAAGTCATATTTGTAAATCTGACAACTTTGTATAATTTGATTATAATCCAAGAATCAATATTGATAGCAGTTTCTGTCACCATTCTTAGACTTGGCATGGTAGTGGTACTTTTCCTGTGGGGGTAACCAACAGTTGTATAATAGGACTTATAGCCTACTTGGTGGGAGAGAATTCACACTCACTACTATAAACTTAGCTAACTACCCATAGCTGGCGAAACCATAGTATTAACCTAAGTGTTGATCTGAAACAGACTCTGCTTTTCTCATATCCACAGCTTAGTAAATGCAGCCGGCCTTCCTCTGTGCGAAGATTTCAGTCTAGTCTTAAATGTTTCCACTTCTCTTTATAAAGAATGAAGCATCTTATGCTGATTTTGCTAAGAGGACCAGATTTGGAAATTCTGCCACATATGAAAGACTGTGGCCTACTCCATAGTTGTTTGGACTCCAGCCCCCATTAGCTTACAATCATTCTCTGTTGTGTTGTCTTTGATACGTTCCTCCAGGTATATCTGATCAGTCTAAAATCCTCAACAAAACCTCTGTGTTAGTTAAAATTCCACAATCAGGGATAAATTTTCTATGTTAATATGTCTCCCAAAATATCTTACCAAAATCATGCCCTTTTGGGCCATCACAGCTAAGACTCTGAAGACTTATAATGTGTTATACACTGTGCTGAAGGCTTTGTGTTCCCATGTACTGGACTATATTCTCATATAACTTTATAATAACACTGTGAGGTAGAATTTGTTATTACTCTCTTTTAATAGATGAAGTTAGGTCCAAGAAGATTGAAAACTTCCTCAATTTTTGATAAATTAATACTAGGTAATCATAAAGGAATTCACATTTTAAAATTAGACTTTCCTGAAACAATGTTTCCAAATGCTCTTCTCTTTACACAACTATTTACTCCTGGCTCTCATCCTTGAGCAACTGTTCCTTCATGACTCCTCTTCTAATCTCAATCGCCGCTTGCATCAACAATTCTCTCCTGTTACAGCTTAATTTCTGTCACTATGATAAAGTATTCTGACCAAAAGCAACTTAGGAAAAAGTTTATTTCAGTTACAATTCCATGACACAGTCTATCACTAGGGAAGCCAAAGAAAAACTCAAGGCAGACTGGCTCGCTATTGTATCCAGTAGCTTTACCACTGTACAAGAAACTTCACAGCCCAAAAAGTCCTACGGAAGTCATAAAATGTGCTCCCTGACAGCTGCCTCACAGGCTAGCTTTTGCACAACTAGATTTTTTTATACAGTTGCAGACCACCAGCTTAAGGTCACCCATAGTGGCCTGGGCTCTCCTACATCAGTTAACAATCAAGATAATCTTCCATAGACAGATAGATAGATAGATAGATAGATAGATAGATAGATAGATAGATAGATAGATAGATAGATGATAGATAGATACACAGACAGACGCATAGACATAGACACATAGGCATAGGCATAGGCATAGGCATAGGCATAGGCATAGGCATAGGCATAGGCATAGGCATAGACATAGATATCCAAAAGCCAATCTGAGCTGGACAATCCCTCCATTTTGAATTTCTTCTCCAGTAACTCTAGGCTGCATCAAGTTGATAGCCATACCTAGCAAGGGCTTCTCTGTTCTCTGATTTCCATAGTTGTTATGTCTCACAATGTCATTACAAAGACAAATGAGAATATGGTTGGCTACATGGAAACATAAAGCCCTCATTTTGCATTTCTCTATGTACTTTCAAATGTTTTCACCCTAAAATTGTTAATTCTTCTAGTAAAGACATCTTGCTCATCAAGTGAGTGGCAGTGGTCTTAGCAGTCCATGGCGTAGGATATTTAGTAAATCTTTATTGCTGGATAATTTTCATAAACATATTTCCTTATTTTAGCTGAAACAATTTTATAAATGGATACCAATGTATAATATTGTTTTATAGCTTAATATATGAGAAAAAACATGGGGTTTTGTAGTCAGGGTGGTCTACATTTATGTTCACTTTTGCTACATTCTGAGAGGCATGAATTGGGTTAAATTATTATCAGGTGTTTATTGGGTTAAATCATATCAGGTTCTCATCAATACAACATGAGGTGTGTGTGATTTGTACTGGGTGGTACTTAGTCTCTGGTAGTCCCCAATAGGTGTAATCATAGCCCTGTATTCTTCTTCACTTGGATGCAGAGTGATTTGTTTGTTAGTCTGTGTGTTTCTTTTCTAAATGCTGCTAGTAAACAGAACACTGTAGAAGCACCAGGATGCACCTCCACTGTTTGGTTATAAGACCATAGTTCTACCATAGGTTTTTTCTCTTATTTTTTTCTTGGATCCAGCTCATTTGAGAAAAGCCATCCTCCACATGTTGGGGCTGTTTTGTGGACAGTGTGAAACAAAGGCTACCAGCAGCCACTCTATAATTTTGGAAATGAATCCTCCCTAAGTTGAGACTTAAAAGGATGGCAATCACAGCTACCACTTTGAGCAGAGCCTTTGACTGTCCCTATGTCATAACCATGTCACTAAGTCACCTCTGTATTCCTAACCTATTGAAACCCATAGAAAGGAAGTATTGTTGTTTTCCTAGATAAAGTTGGGAGTAATTTGACACACAGTTGTCCATAAGTAATATGTCATGCCAGCAATAAATATATATATATATATATATATATATATATATATATATATATATATATTATAGCTAGTCCTTGGCAAAATTGTAAATACTTGTTATATGATATGTTCCTCCAAATTGAATGTTTTAAATTAAAACATTTTACACAGGACATGGGGAGACCTAATTAATGGGTCTTAGATGGTAAACAGGGGGTAAACAGATGTCACATATCCAGGAATAAAAGAAGCTTCTGAGATTCTTGGAGGTTCCTATCAATAATATAGAGGGAGTGTCCAGTTTCTGAGTGTGAAGGCTGACCAGACAGACTGCAAAAGAAACATGTTGGACTGGGGAGCCACATGCAAGCTTCCTAGGAAGCTCCAGAGTTACAGTGTTAGGAAGTCATTGTCCACATTACATTATGGTTGTTTTCTGGTGATGCGGCTGTTTTTTTGAGTTACTCCCGCTTCTTGTAAGTAACCTCTTATGCATACTTGTGTTACTACTCCCAATTTAAAAATAGCTCAGTGGGTCACCAGAATTCTATTCTGGTGCAATAGTAACTTTGATGGGTCATGAGCCTCCTTTCTGGGGCCAATAGTTATATGTGTTATGTCTCCCCAGGAGAAGTCTGCAGTATGACAATGATATTAAAACCTAGGAAAAGATGGGCCTTGAGAAATTTATGAAATTAGGAGAAGGTAAGTACAGATTTGTCAACTTAGAAACACATTTACTATCATTTAATTCTAACTCATCAAGTGAGTGAGCTGTCACCGCCCCACCTGTCAATCATGTGGCTAAGAGAAACCAAGTTAAGAACACCCAGGATGTCTAGATACAAGCTCCCTGAAAGGATCGACTGCCTCACAGGGTTACCCAGAAGGTCATCTGAGGCTCTTGTTCAATCTCTCTTGATTTTATTTCCACTTTTAAACTTGCATGAATACTTCTGATGATAATTACCAAATGTTGATATGTATGGAAAAATCAGCGTTCTACAAATAACCGACTTGGACAGCTTTCATACACGTGTGGATGTTTGAAATTCAGCATATTCTGTTAGATTCACATGTTTGCTTAGAGAAACATTGGCAAAAAAACTGTGCTGTGAACACACACACAAATACACACACAAGCACAGATGTAGAAAAGACTAGATCTCGAGTTGAACATGTCAGAACTAAAAATGCAAGGGTGGGACCTTAAGTGATCCATCTCTGCTACCCCATAGTTATAGTACCCTCACTGATCCCTCACTGTGCTATGGCTATGTATGCTCCGATACTAATGGGATAATGATACATTCATCAATTCCAATGCTATCACTACCTAGGAATTTTATTTAGATATTCCATGTAATGTGCACATTTACTTGATTGTCAGAATGCAACTTCGCCTACTATAAAGTAATCGTATTTAATTCCCAATAGCTGCCTTCTTGAGACTTTGTGAATCATCGTCTTCCATTGAAGAATGGAAGCTTGTCCTTTTCCTAATCACCACAATGTCTTACATCAGGGGATACTGGGAGGAGAGAAACGGCTGATATTAGGTTATAAAAGGGAATATGTACATTTAATAATAATTAAAAAGAAAAGCAATTCACGCCCCAGCAAGGCCAGAGAGACACCTTGTTGTTGGTATTGTACTTATATCAGTCATGGGCAAAGCAGATGGAAGTTCTTTGTCCATCCTAGCTTGGTGTCTGGCTTGGTGGCCAAAGCTATTTTACACCTGGGACACATAAATCAAATCCCAGCAGCATAATACAGGAGGAAGACAGACAGAGACCTGTGGACTGCCATGCTACCCACAGACCTGCCCTTCTGCTCACAGCACAAGCAGACTACAGAGACCAACTTGCTGGATAAGGACACCCAAGGTCCCACCAGCCACGTGGCCAGCCTGCAACAGGAGCCATCACAATGTGTAGCTATGTGGTGGAGAGATGGTAAACAAAGAGAAATGAAGCAGCTTGAGCATTATGAAGAGAGAGTGGCTAGCCCTGCCACCTGGGGCCATGGTGGGGTCCCAGCCCTGGATGCCATTGAGAGCCATATCTGGGTCTGTGGCTAGACAGTGGCAGGGGTCAGTGTCTATGTTTGTGGCTCATATTACCACTAGAGAACATGGAGATGTCCCTGGTTGGGGCAGCCACCAGGAACCATGTGAATGTCCAGGGGCTGTTCAGAATCAGCTCTTCCCCTAACTGGCTGTGGCACTCTGGAGATCTGGTCCCATTATGATAGCACTCAGGAGAGTGGGCCCTGCACCTCATGGACAGTACAGAGGACCTGACTCTGGTGGCAGTGGTGTGGGTGACCTAGCCCTGAGGGCATGAGTGTGAGTGGGAGAGCTGATCCTGCCATTCATCTGCCATGGGGTGACATGGGTGACACAGAGGTGATACACTCCCATGTCATCCCATCCCTCTTCACTAGAGACCTGCCCCTTACCCAGACAGCATAGTGGAGCTGGCCTAGTGGCAGAGCTGTTGATGACCTGGACCAGAGGGCATGAATATGGGAGAGTTGACCCTAATCTGCCATGGGGTGGCATGGACTCAGAGATAATGCCCCAATCCCCTACCCCTCACCACCTTCAGCAGTCTGGAAAGCTGCCCATAAGGTGGTGGGCATGGGAGATCTGGCCCTGCCCCTCACCAGCTGCAGCACTGGAGAAAGCAGGCCTTGTGCCTCACCTGGGCAGCACAGTGGAGCTGGCCCTAGTGGAAGGGTGCTGGTGAGCTTGCTCCAAGGGCGATAGCATGGGAGAGTTGGCCCTCCCAATCATCAGATGTGAGGTGACCTGTGTGTGTGTGTGTGTGCCTCCCTCTCCCTCTGTGTGTGTGTGTGTGTGTGTGTGTGTGTGTGTGTGCATGCCTCTCTCTCTCTCTCTCTCTCTCTCTCTCTCTCTCTCTCTCTTTCTCTCTCTCTCTGTGTGTGTGTGTGTATGTGCGCCTCTCTCTCTCTCTCTCTCTCTCTCTCTCTCTGTGTGTGTGTGTGTGTGTGTGTGTGTGTGTGTGTGTGTGTGAATGCCTTCAGCCCTGTTGCTCCTCCCTACCTGAGACAGCCAAGAGAGCTGACCCTGAGGGCAGGACAGCAGGAGAGCTGACCCTGCCTCCTGCAGATGGTGGCATTGGGTGTCTTAGCTAGGGCAGTGCTGGAGAGCTCGCCCTGCTGATGCACATAATGAGAGCCAAGACATGCTGACCAGCTCAGCTACCAGGGAGGCCCAGACACAGGGCTCTAAGTTAGCCCACCAAATTCTATTATCATCTGCAAATGGCTGGCACGCATGAAAGGGGCAGTCCTGCTGATCCAAGGCTGAAGCATCTCCATGACACAGGGCAGCAACAAGAATAACTGGGTGGAGGACAGGTGAGGATCCAATACTGCTGGTGTCCCAGAAGCCAGAGATCTCAAACCCCACTAATGACCTACTGCAAAGGAAATTTGTAAATGAAGATGTGTGGACAGAGGGATATAGTGTAGGACATACTGACACACTACAGCTTCCACCATGAGGTGTTTTCTATGCTTTGTTTTGTTTGCTTGTTTTTTATTGGGGGGGGGGGAGGTTGCAGGGTGGAAGGCAGAGATGAGGGCACGGGAGATGGCAGAACTGAGTTGCAGGGTGTGAAACTCAACAAAGAATCAATGAAAACTTTTTTTTTAAATAAGTTTTAAAAACAATTCAGTTCCTTGCCATTTCAGCTCAATCATTTCGTTTACTCCTCAAACTAATGCCTCACCTATGAGAGCCTCCGGTATATTGAACAAGGAAGACATTCACCACCCATACTACAACCTGACTTCTCGATACTTAAAGCCTCACAGGATTTCATTCATACTTTCTTGACACTTAAAACCGTCAGAGCCACAGTTTGAGGTCTTCGATTGAACATAGCATGCCCCTGTTTGTTTGTTTGTTTGTTTGTTTGCTTGCTTGCCTGTTTGTTTGTTTATTCTGTTTCCCGAGGGTCTGGTGACGCAGTATGGATCGTGGGCACTTTATCTACTTAGCCATTCTTCTCAAACCAACACCCATGTTTGTGTTTTCTGTGGCACCAAAGGCATACAAACCAATACATTCTGGAAAATCAGCACTAGAATGCTCCACCACCATCCATTGATGTTTACAGGCTGAGTGTGTATGTGAGGTAGGGGGTGAGCATTCCCGTCTCCCCACCAGGGGTTGCTAGACATCAGAGAAGTTCTAAAGAGAACGATGTAAAAACGGTACATGAGAACAGAAAGAAAGACAGTCAAAGAAGAGACTGTTACCCTGGCAAGGCAGGCAGCCCTTCAGCAAAAGAATTCCCATAATGAACCATTGTGAGCTTAGCTGCAGTGTTTGTGAATGGAATGCTTTCTGTTGAATGAATGACTACTGTTCCATAATTCACAAAGTCTGACTCTAAGCGGGCCGGGAGGTATGAGCATGTCTTAAGTGTGCACTGCACACGTCTCCCCTCTTGTCACCCATGGCCGCTTGGGTTTACTCTGTAGTTCAGACATTAGTAAGCCACAGCCAGGTTATAGGAAAAATCCAGCCATTTATAATCTAACCAGATAATTGCCCGCCACCTCTTTTCCACGATGATAAACTTTCGGACTGGAGGACTGAGCTCTCCTGGCCACTGAAGATGCCTTCAATTAAAGCCTCCTTTCCATCAGGGAAATCTTACGGCTCTCGGTTTTAGAATCCTCCCATTCAGAGGTCTAGAAAAGCTTATTTAGTTTTTTCTTCTGTTTCCTTCTTGAAGCAGGCTCATCAAACTCATAGGGAAATATGATGGGAAAAAAAAACAACCAATGATTTCAACTTTCAAAGACAGACACACTGCTTTGTGCTTCTGGCCGTATGTGCCTGTCTGTGTCTTTTACATTCACAAAGTCTCAGGCTGTCCTTGACACTGCACCCACAAGCCCTTCCTCTTGATTTGTCCTCTCCAAAAGCAGCAGAACTGTTGACCCTAATTCTGTAACGAGATGCACAGTACACAGTGTTCCCTAATAGTGCACATGCAGAGTCTCTTCAGGGAACAGATTTTATGTAAACAGAGATATCCAGAAGTTACATTATAGCCTCATTCTTGAGATAAACTTCTGTTTAATCGCTGATCCTTCCAGGAATAAGAAAAAAGATGCAAATAAATTGCTGTACTATTCTTAAATTAATATTTAATCTTCATTTTCTTCTCAGGCTGGGAACTCTGTCACAAAAGACAGAGTGGAGAGCAGAGGAGGAACAAATTTAAAAAAATACTTTGGGTCCTGGTTCCCAGCAAGTCTCCTAAGCCTGGATTTAGGCTTGTCTTCTTAATCTCGACGCTAGAGGGAGTCAAACCCAGGAATCTGAAAATGATCCCAGGGCTGAACAGCAAAGGCGGTTGTTACACCTTTCTCTTTAAACAAACGCTCCTTAGCTCGGTTGCCCCAGAAAAACGCCCAATCTGGAGTGCCGTGCCTTGCTTGCTCTGAGGTTACTATTTCTAAAAATAGTTTTCTGAAAAGTCTCTCTAGTACTTGGGAAGCACGCAAGTGGAGTGTGGGGCCCGGAAGTGCACTGTTCTGCTTCAGCAGGAACCTACAGGCTGAGGGTGGGACAAGAACGCTAGCCAATAGTACCAAAAAGGGTCGTGCCCTAGACTGAGAGTGTGTCTTGGGTTTCAAATAAGCTATTCTCACTGGTCCTTGAGGAAGCAAAAGGTTGGCTGTGAGCTGGGAGCCCAAGAAGTGAGTTCCATGTGTCAAGTGGCTATGATTCCAAGGTTGCTCCTAGCCCCAACTTCCCCACCACACCCAAAACACACAGAGCTACTGCAACAGTGCCAGTGGGTGTCGCCTCTAATTGATGTAGTGGCAGATGAATGAGGTTTTAAGCACCTGTGTTGGTCTTCCAACCACTCCACTGAATGGCATGGTTCAAGAGTGGCATGGGGGCTGGAGAGAGGTCCAGATATGGTCCAAGATGGGAGGAGACAGACAAACCCAATTTGGGGGATATCATCCATTTTCTCTCTTCCGTTTCGTCTCTGGTCACATCTGCAATTCCTAGGAGAATAGTATCAATTATTTTTGAGCCATTTTTATTTTTGTTTGGATTTGCTCTAAAATTCCCCTAAAGATCAAAAGCAAAGAATTTATCTAGTGTTCTGTCCCTTTGGGGGAATGTGTGTATGGGCGTGGTGGGGGGAAGGCACTTTGAGCATTCTTTTTTGGATATCCCCAAACTGTACAAAGCAGGGACCCAGCCTTGTCTCCGGCTTTCTTCCGTCACCAGGTTGACTGATGTTAGAGAATTAAACTTAAGTGTCCCTTGACACAACATCTTGAAGCCTGGAGGAGTGAGGGGAAGGGGGGAGACTAAGCTTCAGCATTTATGTCTTGAGTACACAGCAGTTACACAAAGCTCAGGGAGCTCAGCTACTTGCCTGAAACACAAACCCCAGGATAGAACCAGAGCATCCTCCAGCAAACCTCCCACGAAAGATATTGGAGGACAGGGCTGATCTATTTCCCCAATGATTTCATGAGAGTCTTTGGTCTGTATAGATTCTAGGAAAGCCCACTGCCTGAACTTTCAGAATTATTGCTAAAATAAATGTATCCTGACCAAGCCTTTATGATAGGAATGTCAGTCTTGACTTTATACAACTTCTGAGGTTTGGTACCAGGTCAGTTCATATGGGATCGACTGCAAGCAATGAAGTGAAACTTCTCCAATCACTGCCACCGCCGC